AAAATAATAAATAAATAAAAATTTTCTTGTGTATTACTAAATCTCAACTTTCAAAATTTAGTATAGTTACCTGTTCATTATTTTGGATTTGTAGGATGATGTTTTTTAAATGTTTTTTTGCGCGTCCAATTTTTTCTTTCGACAAAACTCTTCTAAATCTTGGATCCAGAAATAAAGCTGAATACATGGTATCATTTTCCATCAATTTTGACTGCCTTGACTTGATGCATTCAACGAGAATTTTACTAATTTCAGTCGTATTAGATTCCAAGTCAAACATCATCTCCAGCCATGCGTCTCCCAACAGCAATTGACTTCTTTGCAAACTTAAAGTTAAGATGTGCACAGGAGTAAGAACAGATATGACAGTCTCTATTTCCATCCATTCCTCAGAATTCAGTTGCTTGGATACAACTTCGTTATCTAGGCAAAAATCTTTCAATTTTAAGACACTCTTTAACATTGTAAAAGTTGAGCTCCAACGTGTTGGGACGTCCAATTGAGGTTTCGGCAATTTTAAGTTCTTAATTGTGAAGCTGAAATATATAAAGCAATAAGATTAATATTTCGCGATTGAGAGTTATAGTTTACCGAAATGAAGCAGTTCTTAACAGCTTAGATAATTCTCGGGCTTTTCCAATCAAGCTTTGATTTTGCTTAGATAAGAAGTCTTTTACAGACAATTGAAGTGTGTGGGCAGCGCATTTTATTGACACAACATTCTCGTACACAATTCCTTCCGTAATTTTTTCCGCATTGCTATACGTACTTTCGTCATCTTGACTGTCTTCACTCTCATTTTGCGACAGTAATTCCACACATTTTACTAAATTTCTACCATTGTCTGTCGTAATTGAATATATTTGCTTAATGTTGATCTGGAAGTTTTTAAGTATATTCTCAATTACTGCCTGCAGGTTTTGAGCAGTATGTTTTTTCTTTAGTTCAACCATAGCCAAAGTGTAAATTACGATCTTCTTATTTACTATTAATTGAACATTCACTCCCAATGTAGACCGATCATTTCGTGTGGCCGTGTCCAACTTCAAACTAACAATTTTTCCTTTTAAGTTATTAATTATGCACTGTTTTATTTGATCAAATTTCTCGGTAATAAATTCCATAGCATTTCTTGAAGTTATTGGTTCCATTTTTAAACCATTAAAAATTGGATTTGTTAAAGTCTTGAAAGCCTTAGAATCAAAAAATTTCAGAGGCCGTGCTTCGGTGGTGATCATACCAATGCAAGCATCTACGACCTCCTTTTTGGACATTTCCACTGTAAATTTAATGCGATAATCATCATTACTTAAATCCTTGTTTGAAAGTTTGCTCAATTTTTCGTAGTCCGTATACATGTCTGCATGGCAGTTTTGCAAATGTCTTTTTAAATTGGTTAAGCTTCCAGCATTGATGACTTTCTTACATATTTTACACATACTTTCTCCACCACTCTCAATGTAATATTCGCGGATTAAAATATTCCGTTTACGACCCATGTTTCACTGATTTATCAATAAAAATTAATTAATGAGTTAAAAAAATCACGTTGTCAACTGCATTAAAATGAAGTGTTTACGGATATGCAAAGCAAAGTAACAATAACAACCGTATAAATAACGGCAAAATAATATTGTCATCAGTGTTGCCGCTGCCTTTAAATTTTATTTTTTTTTTCTTATATTTCCATTACATTCTTATTATTATGGCATAATCAATTTTTTTGTTTCTGACTTAAAAAATAAAAGTCAAATTTTAACTTTTATTTTTGACCGAAAAAATAAAAGTCAGATTTTAACTTTTATTTTTGACTTAAAAAATAATAGTCAAATTTTAACTTTTATTTTTGACCGAAAAAATAAGTCAGATTTTAACTTTTATTTTTGACTTAAAAAATAAAAGTCAAATTTTAACTTTTATTTCTGACCGAAAGAATAAAAGCAAGGAATGAAACCGAAACCCAAACCGAAACCGTAACCGTTTAAAACCGTTTCGTTTTTCAAAACCGAAACCGAAACCGCAACCGTTATCTTGACCTGAAAAGGAACGATACCGAAACCATTTCAATCACAGGTTTCAATCGGTTTCCAGAAATTTACAAAAATAATAAATAAAAATTTCTTTGAAATAAGTGATTTATTTAACCAAAACCAGCAACATTTTGCTAAAATTCTTGTTAAGTAGTAAATAAGTATGGCAAGGTAACTTTTCGCAAAAATCTGCTGATGACTTTGTTGTTGTGAATCGATAATCGATTAATTATATTTAAGTAGTTTCTTTCCCGTACGCAATGCGAGATCCCGCGTGTGCCCAAAATAGCCCAGAAATCATTCCTGTACTCAACAAAATGGGTAATAGAGAGCGAAAATTCGAGCGTATTCGATCGTAAGTGTATTCTTCTTCCTGCCCGAAACAGCCCGGAATTTTTCTCCGAGTAAAAATGGATAAAGTGTCAAAGTGCATATCAGCTGTATTGTGTTTACATGTTGCCTGCATTTACTTGGTGCTTTTAAGGAAAAGTGAATGGCCTGTTGATGTATTTTCAATCTATGTACTTAAAATCAAATTTGTGAAACCAAAATTCAATTTCCAAGTGTTTGCATTTAATACCATGTTCTGACCGACAACCAAAACATTTTTCCTTCATTTTCTTTTCATTTACAACCTTTAACTTTCATTCTTATTCTGCTTTGGCCAGGCAATTAACAATAAATCCGAAATGGCGTATTAAAGATGATAAAATATGACTTCCACTTCGATAAATAATCGAAAAAAACTAGTGAAGACAGCGATTGGCATGAGTGGAAAGTGAGTTTTCAAGTAGTTTTCAGCGAAAACTGGTTTTCGTTTAACAGATTTTATTTGGACGAAAACACAAGTTTTAGGTCGAAAACCAGTTTTAGCAACGAAAATATGTTTCCGATGTCGGTCAGAATATGGTATAAGTGAAAAAAACAAGAACAACGTGAATCAGCTGTTTCTCGACTTGTGGGCACGAAATGTGGGTTTTTGCGATTCCGTACTTCTGAACTTTGTTCCATTTTTGAAAGAAAATGTTTCTCTTATTCTCTAATTACCAAATCCGGTCCGGATTTTTAGGGAAAGAACCTAGTGTTGTTATTATCAGTGAACTGTAATTTTCGATTTTCTTTCCTCAACTTTTAAGACATTGTGATTTAAATAATATCAACAAAATTTCTGTGAAAAACCGAAACCGGAACGAAACCGAAACCAAAACCGAAATAAATTTTGAAGAACGAAACCAAAACCGAAACCGAAACACTTGACAAAACCGAAACCCAAACCGGAACGTTATTTTGAATCGGTTTCATTCCTTGAATAAAAGTAAAAAAATAACTATTATATTTTGACTTTTTTGAAAAAAGTCGTAACTGTTACGGTCTCAGAGAAACGTTATTTCTTATAACCCACGGCTTTAACTCTAAGCGCTTATTCTCTTCAGGGTCCGTCCCTTCTACTTCCTCTACGCATTCGAAATTATCTTCGAAAAAGTACCGATCGTCACAGTCATCTTCATAATTATCAAAAATATAACCTGCTGCAGCACTGGTACTAGGTATGCCATCTAAATCTACTCTACTTGAGCTACTCATTCTTTCAGTTTCAACCTCTAGAGCACATTCATTTAACCTGCGGAATTTTGCCACCGTAGCTTCAAATTCCGGTTTTTCTCTGCTCAAGAGATTGGAAAATGTTTTCTTATTCATATTTATAGTTATATATTTTTATTAAAATTAGTTATACAGATATAAATGTATATGTATGTATATACCTATATAAACATACCATTATACGGTAGACAAACGGGCTCGATTATTTGCATAACCAGCCTTTATTTGCTTTGACTCATGCATTTTCCTCTTTAATATGCGCATAAGCAGCCGAACAAATGCACGAAATTTTTGGGAATTAACTCGGATCCGGGCAGTTTTCGTTGACAACACTGGTCAGCTGTTGTCTTTTCTACAAGTAAGCAAACAAAGCGCGCGTGTTCCGCGTCCGCAGTAGCCGAGTGGTAAGAGTTACGGGATACAAGCCTGTAGCTGCCAGGTTCGATCCTCGGTTGGAGCGATTGCGAAATTTTTTTTTGTTTTTATTTATTTTATATTTTTTTAATTTTATTTGATCTATATATTTAATGTTACTTTATTTTGTTTTCATTTGCTTTATTTTATATCACTTTTTTATTTTACTATCAGTTAATTTAAATTTTTAGAGTTGAATTTTAATAAAAAGTCAACAACTAACTGAAAGCAACGTAAAAAAAATATAGAACTTATAAAAAAAGAATGAAAAAAATAATAAAAAAAAATGAAAATTTAATTGGTTGTGGGACTCGAACCCACGACCTTGCGGCTCGTTTATCCGCATAACTGCCGTCTGTGAGGTCAAAATTATTATGCGCATATGTATGCCAGATTATATGCATAAGCTTTGTCGTCTGTCACAGCTTTTAGATATGATAGATATTGTATGTACTTATATATTTAAATCTATTTATAGTTTTGACTTGTCTTTCAAAACAATAGCGGCCCCAGAATCCAAGTTGGGAACTGAAATAAAAAAAATATGAAAACACAATCTACACAATTTTTCTCACGCAAGTTGAATTCATTAGGGATTTTGGATGGATGAAATCAATCGAATATAGAAGAGTGAGGAATTAGAAAAAGTTGGAAAGGAAATAAAAACCATGCGTGAAAAGATGAAATTATAACATTAATTAAAAAACAGTTAGTAATGTTTACAAAATATTAAATAAATAAAGTAGAGATAAAAAAATGCAAGTCTTGATGACTTATATGGGCCCAAAATCATTTATAGGTAAAATGTGGCATGCAGGATTTTTATTTTTTTCTGCAATAAATCTTTGTTTCTTCTCCTTTCTCGACGTGCAAGACGTGTTTTTATTTAATTTAATTTTTAAACAATTAAATTATGAATTAATTGGAAACTTACTTTGCAAACAGGTGGTACCCCCTTGAAAAATGTAGAGAATATTCAAAAATTTGGTCTCAGTTTTAGGCGATCAGTGTGCGGAATTTCATCAAATCCGTACGACCGTTTCTGATTGAAGAGGTCTCGCAAGGTATCGACTGTTACTTAATAAATTTGAAATCACCCTGTAGCGCTAAAAGAAAATTCAGCAAATAAAAATTAAATCACTTTTGGGTTCGTTATAATTTCTTTAAAATAAATTAGCCTTTTTTCAAAAAATTTTACATTTATTTATTAAGAGAAAGGTAATTTAATTGCCTTTCTGTTCGTTATAACTTCTTTTAAATAAATTAGCCTTTTTTCAAAAAATTTTCCATTTTTGTGCGATGCTTTATGTACGTTTAACACACATATACATAATTTCACGAAGTTGTTAGCCAAGGCTTAATTTTGACAAATTATTTAAAAATTATTGATGTTAGTGCTTATTGAGAGAAAGGTAATTTAATTGCCTTTCTGTTCGTTATAATTTCTTTTAAATAAATTAGCCTTTTTCAAAAAATGTTACACTTTTGTGCGATGCCTTATGGTGCATTTACATGGTATGAAATCATATGAACTGTTGATACGCTAAAATAGAGGGACTACATGTTCTAATGAGGAATTCAATGATATCGAGTGGGATGCATATAATACATTTTTTCATATGAAAAGTTATGGGGAGATACTGTAAACATACTGTTGTGATACTGTTAAGCATATGAAATTATGGCAAGTAGGATTTTCATACATCTTCCCATAAAAAGATTAACAGATGCAGAGATACCAAGGAGGTGTTTTCCCATTTTGATGCCTTTTTAATATAAAATGCCACCGAAAAGAAGGAAAGCGGTAACTCCGCCATTCACATACATGTCAAAAGTATGAATTTTAAAAATTAAAAACAATAAAAAAAAACAAATTCAAAACAAAGAAATTAATTGTACAAGAACTTTTTGAAATAGAAGCAACTCACGTATAGTGGACAATAAAAATACAAGGCACTATGATAACAAACTTAAAACAAGACATTACCGAACATTTTAATGAGCTTTATATCACATTTAAGTAAAAATAAGCCTATATTTTCCAAGCTGGCAAAGAAATGAAAATGTGTATTTTTTGTTGTTTACACAAAGACTTGCCAAATATACATATAAGTCAAAATTATAGAAGGCATGTATACTTCTCCCTTTCATTTTTTCATACAGTTTATGCTTCTTTCTGGCTTTTACAAAATGCAGGGATACCGCACTTATTTCGGTACAATATGATCATAATGTATTTTCAATTCGAAATCAAAGAAAAACATCCCATGAAAATGTATGCGATTTTAGAGCAATTAGTGTATATTTACAAACTACTGCAAATAATGGGGTGTCATATCTTAAAAGGTCAGAGAGTTAACGAATTAACTTTTCCTTTTGTTTAGCGTTGTAACTGCTTAATTTATATCTTTTAATTTATACATGTGAACTCTTTTCAATACCAGCAATATATGTAAAGTAGTGGCGGCTGCTGTAGAGCTATACGCAGCGCCTGAGGTCAAGCCAGTGTTGGCAAAATGTTAATCTGATTATTGATTAAAAATTGACGATTAAAATGTTAATCGTGATTGACGATTAAAATTAGTTAATCGTAATCAACTGAGCGATTAATCCAGTTAAAAAGAAAATCTGATTATGTTGTCTAGTTTGTTCGAATTCGAGACCAAACACTAGTTACAGAAATTATTTCGTGTTTTATGCTTATAAAAAGCACATAATATAAAAAAAGTTATAATTATTGTTATTAGTAATACATAAACTGGGAACTTTTACAACCCAGCGCACATGTGCAGAGGGATATTAAAACTTAGTTTGTAAAACGTCTGTTGGAATAGATCTTAATGAAAATGCACACGAAATCGCTTAGATGAGGAAAACCGACTTAGCCATACCCGATTAACTGGACTTTTGTTCACAGGAAAATTCCAGCATAAATTAATTAATCACCAAATCTACGTAATCAGATTAAGGGTTAAAGATTAAAAATAAATTTGTTTAATCGTGGTTACGATTAGCTGTTTAATCAGATTAAAATTAATCATGATTAACTGTAATCGGATTGAATTTAATCGAATTAACTAATTGAATAAAAAATCAATCGATTAGTGCCAACACTGATTCAAGCCCAGTTTCCCACCAACATTAAAATGTAAAAAACAAAAAAGTTTTTTTCTAATAGCGCTTGCCCCTCTGTCGGTAATAGTTAACCTCCGAGTGTATTCTGTACAATTGTCGTTCGGAGTCTTTGTGACAAAATCAAGGCGCACGACCCATATCGAAGGAGAAGCTAGGCCAAACACTAAAATATTGTGTAACGCCGTCGTTTAAAGTATAAAAGCGCGTATCGTGGTTCTGCAAAACCTCGAAACTAAAATATGTGCCAAAAAGGATATTTGGTCCCCGGAAGCTCCTGACATCAAGCCCTTAGCCATTTATAATAAAATATCGATATTTAGACATAAGGAGAAGAGATAATTGAGTTTAAAAGAGAGAACCGTTTTTAATTAGGACAAGTCTTACTCTCCTATAAAATTTAGGCAACCTCACATACAAGGTTTTGCATTTTCTTGATGCGCGGTTTTGTACTTTAAACGACGATATGTAGAAGTATTGCATATATATTTTGGTGCTTTTTCAAGTAAAAAATCCATTGAGAAACCAAAGAAAACGGCATCCCTACGATTTCAACTTATGCCAAACGTTTTTAATATGAAAGACGAAAAACGTAAACAAGCCATTTCTGAACAAAAAATAGTTTATCTACAAATATGTTTGAATTGAGGCATTACCCATTTGAAAAAATAGCAATTCACAAGGCTTTATGGGCAGTAGGTCTCTTTCAAAGAACATTAAAAAAATAAGCTTCTATTTAGTTTCAAAGTTAGCACACAATGAAATTTTTTTGTTTGTTTACAAAAAGAATTTTCGCCAAGTATATAAGTCAAAATTATTAAATGTATATCGCTTTCATTCATTTCTTCATAGAGTTGGTGCTTCTTTTATAGGAAATTTCATACGGCTTATGAACAGATTCATACCATGTAAATTATGTACGTCCAACATATATGTACATAATTTCACAAAATTGTTAGCCAAGGCTTATTTTAAAGAACTTATTTAAAACCTATAAATGTTAATGCTTATTAAAATTCAATTGATTTCCTGTTCCTTATAATTTACAATGAATTTCTTGGTATATGGTGTACATTTTCTTACCAAAGTTTTCCGTTGTAAAACGTACTAAACATTAAATAAAAGAAAAACAAATATCACCATCCCTTAACAATGCAGACAATGGAAAACTACAAGTTATAACAAAAATGATACAATACAGAAAGCAATGGAGTGATTTGATTTTTGGCTTCTGTGTTCGTATGGCATTGTAGCTTAAGTCGGAAAGCTGGCTTTAATATAATGCATCATTCCGTTTATTCTTTATATCACAAGGAATTTTTTGATAAGACAATAGAATATTGACTTGCTAGCATCCGAACTATTTCTTTCACGTTTATTTGTTAACAGTTCTTCAATGGTCTCCAGCCTCCCGAGTTAAGCTACTGTGCAATATGATCTTACTTAGATACTTATATACCTATGTACATACATATGTATTAAAATTGTGGCCATAGTTAAATGTGTACATACATTGTACAGTTCTAAGTTCACTTCACTTAAATAAACTGTTCCAGTACTCCAGGATTTAGTAAGATTTAGTCCGGAAGATAGTACTGAATATGCCTTACATAAATGTGTGTATGTACTGGGCCCACTTCCTATTTCTGACTAATCCTGGAGTAAGGGAACGGGCTATAAATTCTTCTAAAATTCACTGCTTTAAATTTCTATCACAAACTCACTTTAAATTGCTGTTCAAATTGTTTCCCGCCACAGATCTCTTGAAGAGTTTTCCAGCGCAGTTTCTGCAAATTGAAATAAAAGGTTAACATATGAATTTTGCGAAAAATTTCTATACATACCTATTTAGAATTGCTAGCGTATTCTTTTTGTTGCAATCCAAAAGGAAAATATCAACATTTTAACAAATTAAATTGAAAATCAAACCAACTTACCAGCAATGTTCGCAAATGTTCAAAAGAAATTATACTCAAACATAATAGTGACGCATAATTTTCATTACATATGGCGGAAAAGCAACCGGTTCAGCGGATACATATTTTATACAACATCGAAATTATACAAATTAGGGCTAAATTGCAATGCCGAATCACATATACAAGTGTTTCAAGACCTCTGGACTAATTCTATTACAATTCAATAACTTTTGATTGCAATCTTTCTTTGTACTCTTGGTATAAAAACTGGTTGAAAAACCGAGTACTAACTTATTTTTGTCGCAACATTAGCTTTTTGAGTGACAGCCTGCTATGATCAAAATGTCAAGTTTAGCTTTACTTGCAGGGATGCCGTTTGGATCTAAATAGATCCAATTGGATACATTTTTAGACGAATTTTTGTGGGATACTTATTTTTTCCGATCAGTATAAATATGGATACTTTTTTAAATAGGCAAAATTTTGTATATTCTATAAAGTTTTTTTCGTTCAAAAATCTATTTTCATTAAAGATGATAGAAAGCATTACGTTTTTTAAATGTATTAAAAATCGCTACTGAAGCGTGAAATCAAAGCATTTTAATTTTTGGGAACGAAGCAATGAACATATGAAGAGATCTCACCAAAATAGGTATAAGCGCAATTGTTTTAATTAGCTTAAAAGGATGCTGTAAGCAAGATCTTAATATACGTATATATAAAATAAATTATACTCTTTCTGTAGTAATCTCTTTCATATCACATATTTTCATTTGTTAATTTAAAAAGAAAGAAGATTTTAATGTAGTTTAAAATACACTTAAAAAAAACTAAATTTGATTTATTTTACGGAATTGACTTTAAATACACTCTAAAAAATTTGTATTTATTTGCGCATATTAAGAGGGGTAACCAGTTTCCTTTTATAATGTGTGCAAATTTGCACACAGTGTAATAAAATTAAATATTGCCTGTTTACTTTTACATATCAAATTTGTCGCCAAGATCAAAATTACACATAAAATGTTGTAAATATAGTAATGTTTATTATTAGTAGGAAATGTATTTTTACTTTGAAAATTTTTGTAATTTTAAGCACTCTATATATGTGTATTTATGAGTATATTTTAAAGACCTATATTTATACTGATGCTTGTTGAAAAATATATACTTTTCAGTAGTAGTTTTACATGCTTTTTTATAGTGTACTTGCTATTTATTATACTTACTTTTCAAAATACTTATGCACAAAAAATGTACTTTATAAATTTAAATTACAAACGTTTGATTTTATGAAAAATAAAAATATATATACATGTATTCCAATTCCTTAGGATGGGTTAAATGATGTCTTCTTCTTGAAAATGTTTGGTTTTCTTACAAATTATGAGATGTATACGTAAACAAAGAAAATTGGATACAATTGGATACATTTTTGGCTTGGTCAGTGATACATTTTCTTGAGACGGCGCGGCAACAATGGGTGCAAACTGAAAGTGGAAACTATTCGCGGACGAAAAATTAACAGCGTTAGAAAAGTTCAAGTCGGAATGTAGAAATTCTGTTGAATTTAATGATGATAACAAGGAATCGTAAGAATGAGATTTTTGATGCTGTTTTGTTTACTTTTTTCAAAGATTGATTTACGAAAAACTTGAATAACTGGGCCAAAGCTATTCTGATTTAGACTTATGGGATCTTGGTAGAAAGGTATTTTCACACTGTTTTCATTTCGGTCCAAAAAAATATCATTCGTGTCGCAATTTTTTTTTCAAATACCAACACATCTTAATTCAACTTTGAATGACGTTCGTTCATCCTACCTTTCTCTTTCATCCTTTGAATGAGTTTATTATAAAAGAAATAAAAAGGGTGAGAAAATACCTTTCCACCGACACCTCTTAAGTCTAAATCAGAAGAGTTTAGGCTCAGTTATTCAAGTTTTTCTTATACCAATCTTTGAAAAAAGTTAAAAAACAGCATCAAAAATCTCATCATTACGATTCCGTTCAAATTTTTTTTTAATTTTTTTTAAATATTTTTATGCAATTTTTTTGAGCTTAAACCGTTTTGTCATTAGAGGGGATTTTTTAAAAAAAAAAATTTAAGAAACTATTTTGATTCATAGAAAACTCCATTTTTGGAGGCTCTTTGAACTGGTTTTATAATTCCAATGGAAAAATAGTACCGATTTTTTTTTGTATGGGGAGTGATGCAGTCTAATATACATGCATACATGGACTGGCAATCAAAAGTGAGTGCATGGTGTTTTTATACCCGAGCGCACTTGTGCACAAGAGTATTATAACTTTGTTCACATAACGGTTGTTTGTAACAGGCAAATCGAATCGAGATAGATATAGACAAATGTATACATAAATGATCAGGATGAAAAGAGAAATCGATTAAGCGGTGTCCGTCCGTCCGTCTGTGCACACGATAACTCGAGTAAAAATTAAGATATCTTAACGAAAGTTGGTACGTGTACTTCTTTCGGGCGTAGGACGGATGGTATTGAAAATGGGCAAAATCGGACAATAACCACGCCTACCTCCCATATAACGGTAGTTTTCAGAAATACGAAAACTGCGATATTTTAGTAATTACTGAAGATTATCAAAATTGATTTCTTCCAAACTTGGCACAATTGTTGGCCTTGGTACAGCATACCAAATGGCCGAAAATCGGGCAATAACCACGCCCACATTCCATATAAGGGTCATTTAGAGAAATACAAAATCTCCGATAAATCAGTAAATATTAAAGCTAATTTATTCAAAATTGACGCTTGCAACAATTCTTTACCAAGAAATACGTTTATGATACAATTTTGGAAAATGGGCGTGGCACCGCACACTTATGATCACATATATGTATGTATCTCGGTAACCGTTCTACCAATTCGTACCAAACTCACATAAAACATAAACCCACATAAAAGCAAAACATTGAAAATTATTAAAATCGGTCTAAAACTGACGCCGCTTTTCATATAACGGCAAATTTCAGAAATGCTTGAAACTTTAATATTTCGAAATTTAAGGACGCTAATTTACTCAAAATTGATACACCCCGGCTTGCCATGTATCGGTATCTGTCGGAAAGGTGAAAAACATATATTTAATATTTGCGCCGGGTATTTAATGTTCGGCTCCGCCCGAACTTAAACTTTCTTACTTGTTTGCTTAATATTTGCAATGTTTTTCAATTAAATTTTTTTTATTATCTTTTTATAAAAATGTGGTTTATGCTTTAATCAAAACTATACAAGTCAAACTTTTAAGCTTTACACAGACTTAGAAAAATTCAACGAACTTTCGTCTAAATTTTTACCTATTTAATCTGAATATTTAGAAAAATTTTGAATACCTACGCAGATACATATATCGGTTTTTTAATTCTAAGAAAACAAGTGTAAGTTTTAAGCGGCTAAAAAATCGCGTTGATATTTAATGATTTTTTATTGCTGACCGCTGTTTGCACTTTTGACCATATAAAAGGGAATTTCTTGTAGAATAAAATGCGCATGACCGTTTGCAAACAAAATTAAAAAAAAGAACGCTCTATTTTACAAATTGCACTTGTTTTATGCATAAAACCGCAAAATCCGCCGGGAAACAAAATTCATTAAAAAACTACTCGATTTTTTAGCCGCTTAAAACTTGATTTTATTTCATTAGAATTAAAAAACCGATCTATATGTGTAGTTAATTTTTTTTTTTTTAATTCATATTGAAAAGGTCAAAATTTAGACGAAAATTCGTTGAATTTTTCTAAGTTCTGTATAAAGTTTGACTTGTATAGTTTGGATTAAAGCATAATCCATATTTTTAAAAAGATAATAAAAAAAATTTAATTGAAAAACATTGCAAATATTAAGCAAAAAACACCTTGCACTCACTTTTGATTGCCAGTCTATGTACATTAGGGTGGTCCAATAATGCATGTGAAAAAGTAAAGTCGGAATTTTTATGCTCTCACCCCCTAGGATTGTTCTATACCAAAAAAATATACCCGTAAAGTTTTCCATGTATTTTATATGGGGAAAAAATAACTTTTCGTAGAAATGGTATAGAATAGTTAAAAATCAATATTTTTCTATCGGAAAACTCTGTTTATCTGCAGGAGATTCCCAATAATAATACCCAATTGTTTATTTAACCATATACCTATACCATTTCTACGAAAAGTTTTTTCCCATATAAAAATACATGGAAAACTTGAGCGCTTTGAGCGACCTCTGAATATTATTTGATTTCAAAATAAAAAAAAATACTGGTATACTTTTTTTCGATATAGAACAATCTAGGGGTGAGAGCAGTACCATTCCGACTTTACTGTTTTTGGACCACCCTAATGTACATACATATGTGTGTTTAAAATTACCTATTTATGAAATAATTTTGGTGGTATGAATACATGATGCAATAATACAAGGTGGTATCAATTGTGACAGCTCGATTTGACACTGCCTTAGCTCAGTAGAACGAGAAGAAGAACAGGAAGAAATTAAGCCTGTAACGAGCACCCTAGTATAGATTTAAGTTATTAGCGACACCTAGTTGTCATACTTTAACATTCATAACCAATCATGTAAATGAACTCATTCAATAGCAACTCTGAATTTATCCTTTGTATCAATGTTCATTTTTAAGACTATAAGAAGAAATGCAACCTAGACAAGTCATCATTCGGCGATCGAAAGGCAATACGGTAAGATGTAAAGTAGCAGGCTAGAATAGTGCTCCATGGCTTGTTGGACGACGATAAGTCGGCCGCCTGCAATGGAGTGGTTGTTCTAGTAGGTTGCTGCGCTACTTGTTGGACGACGATAAGTCGGCCGCCTGTAACGTAGTTGTTGTTCTAGTAGGTTGCTGCGCTGCTTGTTGGACGACGATAAGTCGGCCGCCTGTAACGTAGTTGTTGTTTTTGTGACTATTGTCCGTTAT